TTAATTGAAACCTTTAATTTGTAACTTAGCTATAAAAGAAACAAAAAAAGGTTCAATTGTTTGTATCATTTTGATTCATTTAATCAAATCGATTTAAATTCATTGAAATGATGAACTCCGTGTTAAAAGCATTCACCCCAACCCTCTCCATCATACTCTACTCTCAGCAGGGAATGGTGGGCCAAATTAAAGGTAACAATGGGCCAACTTTGGCATGTGGGTTCTACTTTGGGCATCTCTGGTTTAGGTTGTAGTCACGCTTGAGTGACACACTTACCGACTAATGCAAGCAAAAATCAGAATACATCAAAATAAGTATGATGGTATGTGATAATGACAGTATGGCAAATATTGCATACAGCACCTGTATTACGCTATTGCAACATACTGTTATTTATACTTTTAAATATATTTTTTAATTTGCACCCACTCAAGAAAGAACGCCATTTTTATATGCAGTACTCGACAAATAAAACAGCAGACTATGACTTCGTTTGTGTACCCTTGTGTAGTGTTTCTTCACGCAAATTCCAGCATTTTTACCCATATTTGTGGATCTGTAAACAGTGATCTTTTTGACAACATAGTCTGCATCCAAAACTTCTCAAACAAAGGAAAGTCTTTTGTCTTTAGTATGTAGTTTTCATGTAAACATCCCATTAAAAAAATAAAACTAATGTTTTTAGTGATTTGATATAAGCAGATGTACTTTTTGTGAGAGCAAATATCAATGCAAAAAGTTACAATAATAAATGTTGTGCCCTGATTGCTATTTTTACAACAACAAAAAAACATTTTCAACATTGTAAAACTCAATAAGTTAAGGTAACTCAAATCATTTAAGCAAACTGATTGAAAAAAAATAAACATTCAAGTTCAAAAACTAATCCTTATGGGTACTATGAACTTTTCCCCATTTGAGTAAACAGAGCAATTTGAGCACAGTAAACATAGTACATTTAAATAAGAACATTTAAATAAAGAGAACTCAAACCAGCTGAGTACTGTAAAACCTAATAAGTTAAGGCAACTCAAACTGTTTGAGGAAACTGATTGCTACAAACCATTTGAGTAAAAAAAACTGATTTATATGAGTACTGTGAACTTACTCCATTTAAGTTGAAGTAATGAGGTGTTTGTTTAACTCATTACCTTTAACACTGAGTTCAAAACTCTTTTTATATGAGTAGAATTAACTTGCAGTAAATTTTGAGTTAACTACACTGATTCAATTTGATAAGGTTGACCAGTTTTACAGTGTATGATACAGTAAAATAGCAGTGATAAGGAGCAACTTTGTAGTTTGAGTTGTAGTTTTTAAATCATGCTTCTCTACATTAAAGATTAATTCTGATCTTTTTATGAATTCTATCTGACCAGTGTTCTTTGTTTAAATGCTATTCAGTTTGTGTTGAGACTGATTTGAATGGTGACTTTGTGGCAATGGCACATTTGTACACTCTTTTTCAAACATTGCATGGTGCATTCAATTATGCATGCATATTTGTGGGCATGACAAATTTTTACTTCATTTTTTAAAGTGAGTAGTATGACCAGCTATGGGTAATACCCATAAAGACTTTATACTCTTGCGCAGTGTATTCTTCAGATGACCAACATAAAATAAGTGTCTCCTCTGCAATTTTAAATGACTAAATGATTGAATTTTTTTTTCAAGCAATCCATTCAAATTGATTCGGATTGCTTTTCCACTTTGAGTGAAGTGTTCTGGTGTGTCCTCTCTCATAGAGATAGCAGCTTCTCATCCTTTCCCTTTGAGGGTCGTTTTTATATCTGTATTGCAGTTAAAATAAGCTGGGTGACTCACCACATGCACAAACCAGAGACCCTTAAAGTGCCACCAGACACAGGCTAGGGATGCTGCCATCTATAACAGTGACAACTATGACATAGAAAATCCTCTCCAAAACTTACTGATAGTCAATCCTTTAATTAATCTAGCATGTGAAGACTTGTGGCTTAAGGGGTACAGACTGCCATTGTTGCGTTTTGCTTTAATCTGCAGAAACGTGCGTCCCTGTTCCTGCAGTGGATCAGCAGCGTTTCTGTATCTTAATGAGAGCTGAGGCTGCTTGCCTTTGATGTCACTGCTGTATTTTATGAATGACAGTGAGTCTTATATAACTGCACTAGATGCCCTCATTCAGCATACAGAGACTCCTGGAGGAGGACAGAGATGTGCTACTGATAACAGGGTCTTAGAGCAAGTTCATGCACAATTGTGGCAGTGCTAAATTTAATAACTTAGTGACTATATAGATACATTTAAAAGGTATTATGTGTATTATTTATTTTAATGAATTATTCTCCAATAGTTTTATCCCTCTGATTGCGTACTTGATTAACAGTCAGTAGCGTGGGGGCAATGTAATTTTTAATCTGCTAATTTCACTATTTAATAATTCATTATCAAAATAAAAAGCACATAAATACCAAATTATTTTATTAGTTTGATTATTAATTATTTAGTATTTATGCTCACAAATTTGTAACTAAATATTTTTACATGTAAATGTGTCATAGGATAGTGAAACAGATTGTATGTGAAAATAGTATTTTTGTAAAATCTTAATAATTATGAAAAAGGCACAAGAGAGGAAGCAGTAATAAGACGAAACACGCTATTCTTAAACAAATACTTACTTTAATATGTCAAATTAATCTGATTTTTACAATTGTCCTCAGAGGTAAAAGAGTAATAAAGTGTAAGCTGTTCATAAATGCATAGATATATTGACCTTAGTGATGGATCTAGGAATTCTTAAAGGCAGGGGCCAACGAGAGCCATAGTTTACAGAGGGGGCCAAGCTATTCATTGGTGTATATATATATAGGCCTGTCATATCTTTTCAGGGGCTAATTGTTTCATGTGCAAAAAGCAGAAATATCATATTTTTACCCGCAGTGTTTCTGTGGGAAAAAGAAAATAATTGTTCCAACAAATATTGGAGACTGGGGATAGTGTTGATTAGTTAACACTGCCCATTTTAGCAGTCAGAAACAACATATTCATCTATATCATACACTCCAAGACCCATTTAATAATATTAACCTTTATTTAATCAGGTAAGTCAATCGAGAACCAGTTCTCATTTACAATTATGTCTTGGCCGAGAGGCAACATAAAAAGCAGATACAGTACAAAGCAGCAGGGACACAATACAATAACAATGTCACAGATTCAAATATTAACATATAAAACCAAGGAAAAACTATAAACAAGCGCAGTGATCCTGTACTATTAACTGGATTGAATTTTTAAAGGATGATCGTGGAATAAAAGTGTTGAGCTTTAAGGTCTGCTGCAGATGATTCCAAGCATCAGCAGCAGAAAACTGAAAAGATTAGCAAACAAATGAAGTGCCAACTTTGGGTATGCAAAGGTTAATAAAACTACTAGAACGCAGATTTTGACTTGCTTCCTGAATGTTAAGAAGTGACTGTTAATATAGTGGAGTTTTCCCAATAAGAGTTTTGTAAATGAACAGAAACCAATGAACTGGCCGACATGACTGAAGAGAAGGCCAATTCAATAAGGAATACTGGTTACAGTGATGAGTAATAAATGGCGCACTAGTACCAAAATGAATTGCTGCATGGTAAATAACATCCAGTTTGTGAAGGAGACTTTTTTATACTGATCTGTAAATTAAATCCCCATAATACAAAATTTGCAAAACTGTTATTTTTCACCAAATGCTGCTTTGAAGAGTGTGTAAAGGAAGATTTGTTTTTGTGAAGTAAACCAATACAGGCTTTAACCTTTTTTGAGCAATTAATTTATGTAAGTTTCAAATGACAATTTACCACCAAGATATTTATAGCAATCAACATAATCAATCTCAGTACCATCCAATGAGGACATTTTAGGAGGAAACTCAACATGTTTAATTTCTAATAAAAACCATACATTTTGTTTTATTAGGATGCTTAAAAAACTGGCTTGCAGTGAAGAAAGTGCTGGAGTCAGTGTTTTTTTTGCTTACAGGAGAAGGTGCATGAGCTGCATGTGTGTTTGAGCAAGATTATGGGTTTTATCATTGTTATTATTATTTTTTAAACTGATTCTCCTAACAAGCAAATATTTCCCCTAGCATTCATTAGATTAAAAAACACCTGCGTAATCTTAATTCATTAGTTTAGTTTTATGCTAAGCACTCATGCTAACTACAATCAAAAATGCTAAAAAAGTCATGTTATGTCTGGTGCGTTTTGTGGGCTTAGGCTATGAAATCAAAGTACAGACAGTGATATCCTTGCAGAAATCTGACAGATGTTTTTGGTTCTATTTGCACAGACTCCGACATACTCAGGAGACTCTAATGTAAATGTACAATGTTCACATAAACTCACATCATTTAGCAATTTCTTATATAAGTTTAAAGTTACAAAATAAATACACTGTATACTACAAATGCCCACACACTTGTATATGTGGTTTACAGGGACTCTTCTAAAAACTTTAAATGAATTGAAGTGCATCTTTATGTTCAAGCTTTGATATACATCAGCAATCTCTTAGAGGAGAAGGGCACAACAGGGGCCAAACCGATTTAAACACCCCTGATTAACATAAAACACAGATACAGGTGTGCATTTCACTGCATTTGATTTCAGCTAATGAAATCAGAATTTAGAATCAAACTATTTAATTGATTAGTCTAATTTAAGCAAACTCATTTGCTTCCTCATTAAAACTGAGTTGTTAAAACTGCACCATCTCTTTTAGACTTGCTGGCTGAACTTCTTTCAGCACATCTTTCCCGGATAAGAAGTGCACAGCTCATCTATGTTTCATGTGCTCAGAGCTACTTAGATGCCCCTTCCTAGCCTTTGAGCTGCCTTGCGCTTTCTCTGACACTGCTGCACTTTTGCAAACTTGTTTACTACAAAAAAGATCCATTGCTTTCCAAGTATCATTTGGAGTTTTGAGTCTTCTTTTTTTAAAACACCCAAATATCTCATTTCTCTCTCCACAGCTTTCACCAACTGACAAAAACCTGGAGTTTGAGCGAGATTTCCGTATCCGCCATTATGCCGGAGATGTCACGTAAGTACACTTAGAGGAGGCGTAAGTGCACTCTTTTCTGTTTTAGACCTTAAGTCCTAAATGCTGTAATTAATAAGCCCTGTTAGTAACCCACAGGAAGCTTAACTAAGTGGAAAGAAATCTAGTCCTTCCCTTGGGCACAGATCTGGTTTGAAAAGGATGGGTAAATAAACATTTGAGTGACGCACATGCTGCGAATGATGTAAAGGCTGGTTGCAAAAACACGTTTATTCCGAATGCAGATGCAGTTCTTACTTGAGCGGTTTGCAATTGCAGGCTCAGTTATATCCTAAAGCGTTGTAAAGAGAGAAATTGTAGAAAAAATTTAGCTAAAATTATATGCACAATATAGTATATTCTAAATTAAGGAGCTAGAGATTTCTGTGAGTCCTCTTTTCCAAGGAGACTGCCACAACTCTTATATTTAGATCTGTGTTAAAGGTGAAGTGTGTTCTTTTTGATGGTAAAGTAATGTATTCAGTTCAAGCCAGCTGTAAGTTAGCTATTTGTAGTTTCATTACCTTGAGAAATATAAATGCAGTCTTTGTGCACTGACAAAGCGTACTCGATTTCTATGAGCTTTTCAGCCAGACCAGCAACAGCATCATGAAACTCCATTCATTTTCCCCAAAGGGAAATGGATTTTTTGAAATAGCTACTAAACCTTTGTAGACTGCCCTGTTGCAAGCTCTGATGTTGTTAATTGATTGTATATGCTTTAGTTGGACCCACTCATTTGCATTAATTCAGCTTATTTTTTAAAAAAATATGTGTTTAATAATTCACTAGCCTTTAAAGAGTTTGCCATTTTCAAATTATATACCTGCTTGTCTATTATAGTCAATGTGGTTGTTTCATTTCAGTTACTCCGTTGTGGGCTTCATTGACAAGAACAAGGACACCTTATTTCAGGACTTCAAGAGGTTACTTTACAACAGGTCTGTATTATCATACAATAATACAGTGCCTCCATTCTTATTTACATACCTGCCATACCTACATAACTTTTATGTTTCACAGCTCAAACCCTGTGCTTAAGGCCATGTGGCCGGAGGGCAAGCTGAGCATTACAGAGGTCACCAAACGCCCCCTGACTGCTGCCACGCTGTTCAAAAACTCCATGATATCTCTGGTGGAGAAGCTGGCCAGCAAGGCAAGTTTATTTGAAAAAGTTTTGTGTATACTATGATTAGTGTCAGACGGTATCTGTGGACATTTTTTGCTATTTCTGCTGAAAATTTTGTAAAAAATCTGCAGATTTCTGCTGAAGGGTTTTAGGATTATCATAACTAAAAACTTAATATATGAAATAAAAACTAATAAATTTGTAACTTTTATTTAATGTTTACAATGCATATCCAATTAGATCTACTTATTTGGTAAATAAAGCAAGTCTCTTATAATATATCTACTAAAAGACAGAAAATATTACTTTTCAAACTGTATTGTTAATAAATCAAATTAACATTTTAATATTACTATTATTATTTTACAATAATGTTTGAATAAATATACCTTTACACAAATTTACACTAGTAAATACATAGATTCAAAGATGGGCTAAAAATCTAAAGAAATCTGCAGATTTCTGTGCGTGCAGATTCTGTGTGGGCCTAACTATGATCTTGTTTGTTTTGCATTAAAAGGCTACATTACCCATGATACTTCTTCAGAGAAATCTCCACCAATCAAAAAGTCACAACCAGCAGTTTCTAAATTAGTTTCCACTAAAAGTAGTTTCTATATAAGTTCTAAATTCGTCCAAGATTAGGTTACTTTTATGTAAGTAGAACATTAAAGAAGATTTTTGAAGAAGAAAACTAGCCCTTGCTGATTCACAAAACGCAAGAACAGCTGCTGGTGTTTTGAGAGTCAAATAAACAAACAGGCAAAACTAAATTAATACCCTTGGCTTCAGATAATACATTGAATATAATGATATACAAGCATATTCACCTGTTAGCTGATGAAGTTTATAAGTTCCATCATCATGTCAGCTTTTTAATACTCTTTTTGAGCAGTGGGGTTCCATGTAAAAAGCTACATTACCCATGATACTTCTTCAGAGAAATCTCCACCAATCAAAAAGTCACAACCAGCGGATTATGCCAAAATACCATAATGCATAAAAAAATTTGCATATTTTGCAATAAATGCTAAACTTAATGCTTTTATATATAAAATCTACATTTTATACACAACAGTCTTATATTTATCCCATATTTAGCCAATGCAGTGCCTTCTCTCAGTAAAGTCATTAAGTACACAGTTTTTTACAATTGTACTTTTGTTAGAATTAAAAATACTTTTAATAAGTTTGTATAGATTCACCTTGTAGCCAGTTTTTGTACATGGAAAATACTTCCAGATCCACAGTTGGGAGCATTTTCTGATGCTTAATTATTTACCACTGCCTTTTTTTGGTTTATATAGGAGCCATACTATGTGCGTTGCATTAAGCCAAATGATGTGAAGTCACCACTGCTCTTTGAGCATGAGCGCTGCAAGCACCAAGTGGAGTACTTGGGCCTTTTGGAGAATGTCCGGGTGCGGCGTGCTGGTTTTGCTAATCGTCAGACCTACCCAAGGTTCCTTCAGAGGTGAGCATCTGAAGGCCGCGGTATACTTCAAGCTTAAGCACTTTTTTTATTCCTTGTTTGAGGCCAAAAAGAAGTTCGATAAATTTGTGTAACAATATACTGTTTTTGAACCTTCTGACACCATGCAGTTTACTGGGTCGGGTTTTAAATGTGTCTGCTAAACACAACAATAATGGTGGCTGAGAGAGGAGTGCAGCTTGATAAACATCTGGAATAGGATCAATAGTATCTGTATGCAGCCTTTATGACGTAAGCTCTCAGCGATCCAATGTCTCACACACAATGCACTCAATGGAGCTAGTGACGTCACTGGGAAGGGTAGAGTTAGGGGTGGGGTTAGGTGAGCCCATTAAATTGCAGGCAACTCGGAGTCCATCTGCATTTGCAGATTCTGCATCCAGACCCTTCTCTGCAAACTGTCTTCTAACTGAGAAGTAAGCATGTATAAAGCAAGTCACATTGCTTTATATTTGCAGTGGACAGACACTGAATAAAACAATGTGTAGGACTTTGTCAGATGTGGTGCAACGTTTTTATCTGGTTTGTGAAACCCTCAGTCTTTTCACGAGTGATTGTACAGTTGCGAATACATCTGTAGTCATGTTGGCAACTTGGTGTTGTTGTTGTGCTGGATGTTTTGCTCATGTATGACTCTGTGTGGATATGAAGCAGGTCAAAGAAGGCGGAGTTTCATAATAATCCCACTGATTGTGTAATTGTCACAGACTAATGGTAGCTCAAAGGTGTTTGGGACCAAAACAAACTACCCTAAACATTTTGCTATTGTGAGTTGTTTTGAACTGTCGGAACAAACTCTAAAAGATCTTCGTTTTCACTGGATTTTGGTGAAATGTTGTTCTAAACCTGTATGAGTTGTCTTCTCTGTTAAACACAAACAATCATTTGAAGAATAAGTGTTGCCTTTTTTCATTCTATTGAAACCAGTGGCATCTGGAGATACTGCATTATTAACCCTCTGAATGCTGTATTATTCAACATAATTTTTAAAAGAACAGAACTCATAAAAGAGTGAAGGGGGCATAAAAGTTAAATAAATACAGATTTTTGGGGCCAAACTATTCCTTTAATCATTTAAAAATGACATTCATGTACATGCTCAGCTCATGAATGAATGCATCTTGTGACAGCTTGTGTCAGACTGTTGCATCTTTGGTTCATAGCAACATCTGAAACCACAGATTGATCAATCAGATTGTGAAGGTCTTATGTAACGTCTGTTGGTGTGAAAACTGTCATCTCTTCTTCACCAAGTGTCATCAGTGCTGAATGGTTTTATGTAACAGTGACGTACAATCTGTATTTGTTCTGAGAAATATGCTTTTTATAAAGCCTTGAGAATTTGTTGAGCATTGTACTGTTGCTGACTTTACAGTGATTGTCTGTACATAACGACAAAAACCAATCAGAAATTCTGTGATGTTCCAGTTTTACTTTCTGAGTCCTCTGTATATACACTCTAAAATGCACTCGCCAAAACTCTGAGTTAATGAGATTCAACACCTGAGTTGACAAAATGTCTGTCACTGAGAGAAAGTTAGACCGATTTATATCTAATTGAGAATGCAGCGTTAACCCCACTCACAGGGTGTTCTGTGCCTCTGTCAAAGCTGCAGATGTGCTTAGAATATAATGTACTACTCAGAGGCAAGACTGGACAAATAAGTATTTAATTTTGCATCCTCACATCTCTTAAATTAGACCCATTGTGTGATATATAATGCTTAATATTGGAAAATGGGTACTTCAGACTTTTAATTATTATTTGATGAGCCACATCATTTAATGCCTGTATTGATGTGGCAAATTGCAACTGCACATTGATTGACAACCTAAAACAGCCTTTGATTCATTTTCTTCTATCTTTCAGGTATAAGATGATATCAGAGTTCACCTGGCCCAATCACGACCTTTCATCTGATAAAGAGGCGGTAAAGCGTCTGCTGCAAGGTTGTGGGTTTGAACACGATGTGGCTTACGGCAAGACCAAAGTTTTCATCCGCACACCACGAACCATCTTCAGTCTGGAAGAACAGAGAGCAGAGATGGTGAAGAGGATCGTCCTCTTCCTGCAGAAGGTGCGATATAACAAACTTTTTAAAATACTTAAAATAACTAAAATAATAACTTTATACTATCTGTTTGGGCAACTATCACCTCTTGGCAGATGCCACTGGATTTGTGATTTTGTTACCTCACGCACTGGTTTTCTGATATTTTAGGTTTGACTTAAGTCTCCAGATATGTTCATAAATACTTTTTGAGTAACTATATATTAATAAACAAGCATTTAAAAATCAAATGTCCTCCCACGAAGTGCACGGCTCCTATTAGTCATGGTGAAACTACTGAAACCTTCAAGACCAAGTGCAGATTAATAAGATTAGTCATACAGGCAGGCAATGGTCAATACAGGAGCAAAACAGGAACATACAGGTAGTCATCAAACAGGCATAAGGTCAGTACAGGCGGCAAAAAATATAAAACAAAAAGAAAAGGCTTGGGTTTAAAAGTACAGCAGGTAAAACAAATAACTAGAAACAATTGATACAACAAACAGTGACAGCAAACAAAGACTCAGATTTGAACTAGTGTATGTGTGGTGCATAAGTAATCCATATGGTCAGCGATAATGGGATTCAGCTGTGTGAGTCATCAGTGGTGAACAGCAGCTGTTTTGTGTGAAACAGCATGGGAAATGTAGTTCATTAGTGTGGTATATATAGTTCACGAGCGATCTGCCAGGAGTGCATCCCTAGTGATCATGACTCATCTAACCTCATTGAACTACTTTTCAATAGCTTAGGTTTATAAAGATTTTCAAAAAGAAGAATTTTTAAAAATAATTCTGTTACACTTGACACTTACTAATACACAAAAATATTGATTAATAAATAACAAACAAATTATTACTCTAAAAATGCAGTTTACGATTATGTTTTATCAGAATTTGTGTGTATATTTATTTATTTATTTATTTATCCATTTATTTATTTATTTATTTGTGATTATTTATTTGTACTTATTTATCCTTTATGTTACCTGGATAGTCCCATTGAGATACACGATCTCTTTTTCCAAAATGGCAGCACAAAATGTTTCCATTAAAGACAAATAAAAACATATTTTGAACACATTTTAAAGAAAGAAAAAAACTATCAATCATAACAAGTACATGTTCCCTTTAGTGTAGAGCCCAAATATAACTTCCCTGCAAAATAACACAATAACCCTAACCCTAACATATAAAAGTGGGAAGGTTAATTTCTTACAGTTATTATTACTTCAGTCTTCATTGTCATGTCAATCCTTAAGAAATGATAATATGCTGACGTGACGCTCAAACTTTTAGTGTTAATCAGTATAATATTTAATGTCTAGATACATATTATGTATTATTTTAGAACTTTATCTGTAAAACAAATTTTAGGAATGTACCGACCCCTAACCTTTGAGTGCTATAACACAGATGCCCAAACTAGGACCTGCGGGCCAAAGTTGTTCCATGGAAACTTTTTGGACTGCTATTCCATCTGGGAAGAGAGGAAGAATGATAGAGATGGTTTAGATATTGTCAATTTAAATGTAATGTAACCTTTTGCTTTATTATTAAAAGCTTAATGAAATTAAATGTTTCAATTAAATGGTGTAAATTAATCAGATTTAGTTTAAATGTACATACTGTCTCCTGACGGATAGAGTACAAATCAAGTCAAAGACAAGTTCTGCTTGACTAGTGTATTCAGCATTGTACTCTACTGTGATATAAATGTAATTGTTAATTTTTTATTTATTTATTGCAATAAGTTATCAGTTTAAATGATATACTGCATCAGTTTAAAGTAATGTTTTATAATAACATAGGAAAATACCTATGGCAACTTTATTGTAAAAGAGTTTGGTATATTTATCTTCGGCCCATGGCTCTCAATGATATTTGGTTTTTGGCACTTTATACGATAATGTTTGGGCACCCATGTGCTTTAGTATGTGATTATTTCTTAAAAATCTAAATGGGACACATCTGATTATTAGACATTAATCATATTTCGTTTATCATTCAGCTGGTTTGTGAAATATGAATTCTGATTAGGAATTTTATGCGACTCCATCACAGCACACACTTACCTAATCAGCTCAAGACATACCAAGGTGCCATATCCTCGCCACCATACATTCCTGTGATTCACTGACTCCATTAATATTCTGCAGCAGAGAAATAATAAAACAATATGGCATGTAAATCCCTCCGGCTCGCAGCATATTTTACCTGTGTCTCTGTAAACACACAGTACTTTGTGTCGTTTTGCAGGGATGTTTCTATGGTTATTCCTCCTCAGAAGAATAACAATATTTTGAATGGCAGATTTATTGACTGCCGCTGTCACACAAATGATTGCAGGCTCATAGCATGCTGCTGCATATTCCCCACCCTCACTATTCTGTCTTCGTTGACTGACGGTTTTTAAAAATCAAAGGATATATCCTGTCAGCCCCTGTCTTTGTCTGTGTGAGTGTTTTTCCCACTGCCTCCACTGCAAGGTTTTATTCGCATTTTCAAAAGATGTTTTCTTGGTTTTTAAACGCAAACTGACACAGATTCCCCCCACTTCTACATTCAGTATCAAACACTCACTATTTCTGTCTAGTAGTCTCACCGGACTGCCACATTCATGAGCAGACGCAGATATCAAAGTGAAAAATCTTTGCCCTGGCTGGATCGGAGATTGATTGTTTGATCTTTTGTATGGATTCAAAGCTGGATAAAGGTGTCATCTTGACATCAAGCTCCCAAAGGGGGACAAAAAAAACAGCATTTTTGGGAATATTGTCACTGTATTAATCACATCCTATACCTGCAGGCAATAACTGTGTGTCCCAGAAGAGCTGATATCACCTGTGTTGATCTCTAGTGAGTGACAGGCGCTAATGTGTTCTTTTACACAAAAAACAGCTTATGGTTGGCCCTAAACACTGTGTGTCGTTGGGTTTGGATCGTCTTCCTTTCACGCACAATCCTTTTATCAGCATATGGCAGACTGATCTGGCTTGTGCCAAGTCTGCCAGTTTTGCCAGCGGTTCCATCACTTGTGCCAGAATCTCCCAAAGAACCCAATTTAAAATATGCTACCGCTCGTCTGTACGAGTCTTCTGTTTGAGTCCTGCTTTTTTGTCTCTCATCTCTCAGTGCATAGCTCATGGGGATGCACTTATCTTTTCATATTTTTTTTGAGCTCGTAAACCAAAAGGGCCCCCCAATCAATTCTCAGTTTTTCTTCACCTCCCACTTTTTCTGACTGATTTCCTGTCTGTCTCACCCCAGCACTCCTTCACAGATCTTCTGCCATTTTTCTGTGCCATTGCCTTCCCCCTCCCCCTCCATTTCTAAGCCGATACGCTTTAGCGCTTCTCCCGTAGGTGATGAAAATACCCAGGATTCTCTGGTCTGCAACTCCTTTGGGCAAATGTGCTAACTTACACCGTCACTCGGTTCATCAGCAGGATGTGGCTTAAACTCAGGCAATTTGAAGCAAATCGGATCAGCTTTGACAAAACACAAACACTGAGTTGCTACATTATTCATGATAATTTCTTCCCTCCCTTTATTTAATATTTAATACGTTCAAGCCCCTGCATTCACAACACCGGACATGTTAGTTGTGGTTTCTGCTGTGAGAGATGCTCTCTGTTTATTTTATAGACTGAGTTAAATCCCACATCACTAATTTCTGAAATGATAGAACAGATTTAAAACTACCTGCCAAACACAATGTGGATGTTATCGCATTTGCTGAGGCAAACAAATGCTCAATGCACAGGGATGTTAGAGTCCCTTTATAAATCATACAGATTTTTCTTTATTATGCCTCCTCTAGTATTGTTTGCGTTTGACTTGCGTTTAATTTTCTGATCTTCTTCCTTTTGCTTGTGAACCCTGTTTTATATGAATATAATGCATCTCACACAGTCACAGTCACTTGGGGATTTTTTTCCATTTCATACTTGTCATGTCAAACTATAGGTTTTTGTGAAACGTACATCTGGTTCTGTGATGTACGATTGCAATATCCCTGTCCTGGCAGCTCAAGAGAAAACCGTTACTGGGGCATGCCATCACTGGCAAATGGGGAAATGGAAATGTACTGTATCTAATGATGGAGCTTTTACAAGTGAGTCCTTGAAAAGAGGCAGTACAGATGTGCTGAAGGTCATTCATCTGGGCAAATATAATATGTCTATATAATAGAACCCATTTCACTTATTAAGGAATTTACTGACATTACATTATTATTTTCACACACCGAATGAATTATTTGCATTTTTCCTCATTTGCAAGTTGCATTGCTAAGGCTGTGATAGGCCAGGTCAATATCACAAAACTGAACTGTGCTCGCACCAAGATAGCTCCAAAGACCCCATTTATAAATCCAGAAAATCATGAAAAACTTTACTTGCAAAAATAACAAAATTATTTTACACAATATTTTGGTTCCATTGCCTTTATCACACAAACACCAGTAATAGTCTGGTAATCAAGATGAAGTTCATTTATGTTGGAATATAGCTCTAAAATTCCATGCATGTTCAATACAAACTCAGGAGATGGAGATCAATGTCAAAAGAATTAGTACTATATTAAGTACAAATGGATAATTCAATTCAATGGATTGGTTATACAATGCTATCCAAGAGAACACATGAGGTGCTCTGCATATGCTTCCTTGGGACAAAAGAGACACACGCTATTTTTATTATTTCTGCTGCATTTTTTTTTTCCAAGATAGCTCCTTCTGCCAAATGCTTCATTAGTATGCAACATGCATCTCACTCCAAGAAGAGTTTCGATTAACATATTATTTAGCAGAACATACAAAATATTTCACATAAAGAGTAAAGAATGACTGTAATGCAAATGACTTAGCATATCTTTTGGCAATGCACACACAACATATTTCTAATAGAGAATAAAGCATTACTCTAATGAAAAAAAAAAAAGAAAGAAAAAAAGAATTCTATTTCCTTACATTTGCTAAAACATTGCAGTGTGTAAACTCTAGATATTTTTTTCAAGTGGAGA